ACTCATCGCACGCTCTCAACCAAGCCACACCGTTTGCATTCAGGTTGACGCGTCGACGTAGGAGCTTGTCTCCAAGCTTGAGCGCAAGCTTATCCCACGCGCTCGGACTGACATTTCAGGAGGACCATGGCCAAGACAAGAGGGCATGGTGGGCCTGGCGGAGGAAGGGGCCGAGGAGGTGGCGGTAGAGGCAGGGGAGGGTATGGAGGGGGAAAGGGACGGGGAGGCAGAGATGATGATGCTGGCGCGAGCCATGGAAGCCGCGGTGGTAAGGATAGGAATCAATCTGGACCCATCAAAATGAAGAACACCAACTTGTGAGCTCAACATTGTTGTGGCCGAGACGAGCTTGCAGACGCTGACTCTGACGATGTCGCTAATGCCACGTCCCGCCCACCCGCGTTCAGCGAGGCGTACTACCTCGACCAAGGCATCCTGCCACCTTCCGAATGGCCCGCTTTCCTCCAAACCCTCCGCTCCCCGCTGCCCACCACGTTTCGCATCACGATGGGCAAAGCAACGACATCGGTCATCTCCCATCAGATGCAGAATGAATTCTTGCCCTTTTTGCAAGGCATCGAGTGGGAAGGGGAACCTGTTCAGGCTCCCAAACGATTGGATTGGTACCCGGATGGACTGGCCTGGCAGATCGACGTCAAGAAGAACGTTCTCAGGAAGAATGATCAGTTCAAGAAGCTTCAGGGATTCTTGGTTCACGAGACTGCTGTGGTAAGTCGAGATCTCAACAGAATGGCACTGCCTCGAGCCTTGATGCTGACCTCGGTGTCGAGTGCGCGTTCTTCTCCCTCTGCGAAGGGGTCCATCTCACGTCAAGAAGCAGTTTCGATGGTGCCGCCGCTGTTTTTGGATGTGCAACCTCATCACGTAGTACTGGACATGTGCGCAGCTCCGGGAAGCAAGACGGCTCAGATCATCGAAGCTCTGCACAGTCCTACAAACACTGGAAGCACAGAGTATAAATCCTTTCCACCAGGTATCATCGTAGCCAACGATAGCGATATCAAGAGAGCTTACATGCTGGTGCATCAGAGCTCCAGATTGCCCTCTGCCAACCTCATCGTCACAAATCACGACGCTTCTGTTTTACCCTTTGTCGAGGTCCCTTGGAGGTCCAAGCATGCGGATACGAGCGGCTCTGCTGGCAACATCACCAAAGTGCTCAAGTTTGACAGGGTTCTGGCGGATGTGCCTTGCTCGGGCGATGGTACGTTGCGCAAAAACATTGGCATATGGAAGGATTGGCAACCCAACAATGCGATGGGTCTTCATGCGTGAGTGCCGAGCGTTGATGGAACGATCGGACTCTGGCTGACGATGCCGGAGCTTCTCTTTTTGCCCGTAGTCTTCAATTGCGCATTCTTTTACGAGGTCTTCAAAGTCTGCGTCCTGGTGGACGTCTTGTCTACTCGACTTGCAGCATGAACCCCGTGGAAAATGAAGCGGTTGTATCGGCAGCATTGAGAGAGTACGGGGCTAATCCGTTCAGTGGCAAACCAGGTCGCCTGCACATCGTCGACACTTCTGGCTATCTCCCTAATCTCAAGCGCACCAAAGGCTTGACTACGTGGCGCGTGTGTCCTGGGTTGGGCAAGCATCTGCGTCAGAAGGCTACGCCGATCGTCAAGCCGGAGGACGACAAAGCCAAGGATGAGACAGCTGCTGCTCTTGAAAGTCGGGAACAGGCAACAGAAGGGCAGGAGCAAGCAATGCGAGTCGATCAGGCCGCAGATGGAGCGATCTCGGCGCCCGACGTCGAGCAAAAGCCTAACGCGGCTCAGGCCGAGCCCAAAGTGGAGGGTCAGCAAGGCTGGCCAGACTTTGGAAGTACAAAGTACCGAAACGCTCTGCCAGACGTTAGCTGGGTTGGCTCGTATGCAGAATTGCACCATTCCGACCCGTCTCTTGCGGCCCGAACACCCTACACGCTCTGGCCTTGTGGAGTGGAGAAGGATTTGGGCTTGGAAAAGTGCATGAGGTTCTACCCCCACTACCAGAACACTGGCGGATTCTTTGTCGCCGTCTTGGAAATGGTACACACTGGCACTGAACAAGATGAGGAAGTGGCACTGGGAGTGAAACGCGCTATGGATGTACTTGATGCCGAAGCCCCAGAGAGTGTACCAAGCGCTAGCGCTACCGATGCTCAGGAGTACAATGAAGCTGGACCAAGCGTCGAAGCTGCAGGAAGCACAAGCGGTGCAAGCAAGCGAAGCGCTTCGCCGATCGCTGAACAGCCCGACGCGAAGAAGGCCAGGTCGAGTGCGACTGACGTTCAGGAGACGCAAGAAGTCATCGACAACGCTCCGCCCGCTGAACAGCCCGACGCGA